TTGAAATAAAACTATTATATACATCAATGAATAGGTGTACTTTCTTATAGTATTTATTTTTTTTAAAGTACTACGCTCGTATCTCTAAAATTTAAGAAAACAACACCGTATTTACTCGAATTTAAGCCGCACATCCAATTTTATCCACATTAATGAGAAAAAAATAATTAAAAAAAATTATGCAAAAGGTTCATCAAAATCCGAAACTTAAAAATTTTTTTACAAAAATTTAATGAGAAATAATAAGAAGTTAAGTAATTTATTTCACCGGTATTAAAAACTTTCTAATACATACATGCACCTATAATTACTCTAACCGTCAGTATGATGTGTTTCGAAAATCATTCATCATTTCCATTGTCACAGCTGACTTCGGAGATGGTGCCGGCGCACAGTGGTCAGTTTTCCCGATCTGGCGCACGGAAATTATTTTATAGCTTTGAAGTCTTCATAATTATAACTAATGATCAAAAATCGTAGTAATTTATGTAAATTGGTTATTCTCTTTTGTTTTTTACCAAGAAATAAGGTGAATAGGGTCTTAACTAATTTATGTCAAGTTTGAATTTGATCAAGAATAAATGATTGCTGTGGGAAACTAGTTTTTAAACAAGGATCTAAAGATATTAACAGAAGCAGTAATTTGACACACATGGGAGAATATATACAAGAAATAGAGTGGCATGTTAAAAAAATTAAATTTTAACATATTAAACAAATACAATCCAACATAACAATGTACATATACAGTAAAGGTTAATACTTAGTGTTTAAAAGCACTCGGCACCCTTTAAGCATTTTTTTTTATTTATGTATTTAAAAATTATATTTTAGCATTTCATAAAACATTTTTATTTAAGAAAATGATACGAGATAAAATTTCACACATAAAATTCACAAAATTTTACAAATTTAATTTTTTTAAGAAATTTGAAATTTTTTAAAATTCTTTTTGTGTTAATTAAATTTTTGTAATATTTCTAAGTACGTTTTAAACACCTTTAGGGATCAATTTTACAAAATCTTAATTAATTTTGGAGAAAAAAAATAATAAAATGATATATATATATATCCTAAAATTTAACCAAAAGCCTAATATCTCCCACATTTAAAGTTTTTTGCTTCACATAATATCGAAATATTATATTTTTATGAAAAACAAATGATGGAGAGCTAAAATTATAAAATTATTACTCTGGCGAACCTTTAGGTATCTACCATGCATCAGCTTTAAACCTCGCCTTCAGTGATATAATGCTATTTTGGGTATCAATTTGTTTTAAAACATCTTCCCGAGCTTTGGCTAATCTGCATAAGGTGTGGTAAACAAGCGCTTGCATTGGAACCTCTGCTGATATTCCATCAATGACGATACCAGGAGGATAACAGTTAATTTTTGACTCTATAAGCTTATTATAGTTGAAGTAAATATCACAGTATGGAACTCTTTGCTATTTCCTTTTATTCTATTATATTGGCCTTTTAACATTTTGGTGTCAACATAAAGAGCCAAGGTTTGGTCAGGAGTCATTTTTTTCGCCGATTCTGGCTGACGGGCTAAGCATTTCTTCAGGCGAGTAGCACGTCTAGGTGAGAAAGTAGTCACATGTTTCAAAATTAAGGCAGCATCTCTTTCTCCAGCTGCTTGCATTGACATTCTTGTTGCAAATGCTAGTTCTTGCTTTCTTGCTGAAGCAAGAAGAGGACGCGCGCGTACACTCTTTCCCTCTTTGCCGTGGCTTTGCATTCCTCAAATGATTTTTAGAGTCAACCTGGAGTTGATTTGGATGGTATAAATCTTACTCTCCCCGATAAGCACGCAGTATTCAACTTGAAGAAGAACTTTTCATTTCTACGGCACCTAATCCATTTTTCAGCCACAAAAGATCAGAGATTTTTAACAATTTTTCTAAATTAAAATTGCGGCTGGCCCTCATATTTATCAGAGTCCGTTGTAGTCCTAACAAAACTCAAAACAGTATTAGTTTTGCGCTTGGGATCTTGCCCTTTCTTCCACACATCGAATAAGGCACGCCGAGTAATACCATCGGCCAACGCTGAATAAAAAATCATAACTATGGGAGTAGCAGGAAGTAGCAGCTAGATTTGGTATTAAATTAAGGTTCTCTTTCTACTCTATGTGACTTAAGTGTTACTATGATCAATCCGTGTCAATCCCAAAAGTTCTAGTCCATTAAATACAAAAAACCAACATACGTTAGTAGGAGTTGCATGCTGTGCTAAATGTTATTTTTTTTATAATTTATAATCGAACTTGAACCTAATTTGAAAGTCAAATCAAGAAATTACTTATCCATGGCATGTATTTTCAAAAAAAAATCCCACTAAAATCTGCAAAATCTTTTTCACAGGAAAGGATTGAACTACCGACTGGAAAATGAGGCTCGCAAGTGTTTCTTGTAGAAAGAAAAAACCCGATGGTTGTTAAAAATTTCCATTCGCGTACTGACAAAAAATGTTTACCACATGGCTAGGGAACTCAAGAGGACCATAAATTGTGGGTTGTTTTTTATTTCCGCGCAATTTCATTTTTGGGGTTTCCGTGCACCAGATCGGGAAAACTGACCACTGTGCGGCGTCGCTATTTTCCCACACAATGTCGTCTTCCGTTCCATCCAATGCATTTGTTATGCAACATTCTTTCAAAGAATATGTTATAGAAGAATTTAAAAAGAATTATTAAAGACTGTCGAACCTTTACAAACAAAAATTATATCATTTTCTTTATGCCATTAACGTGTGACGGATCTATACGCGGCTCTTCTAACCCCTTCAGGAATCTTTAAGGAAAATATTTAATTCAACCAACTTTCACCGAGTGAAGAAAGCGTGATTATGCAAATTAAGTACATTATATATATTCTGTATTCCGAGTTTTAAGATTTAGTTGGTTAGTTGGAGAGTGAAGGATCATGAAATGATTAAGTGCAATCGGAGTTTATCAATTGCAGATTTCTGAGAGAGGATCAATCGACGGTGATTAAATCCGGATAAGGATCGCTTTCAAAGACTCAAGTGTAGGCATAGTGCGCGACGTAGTTTATATTGAGCTTGTTTAAGTTATCGTGGAATCAGTTGAGGGTCCGTATTAATATCCCCAGGCTAACAAGTCTCATCTCCACGCTCTGTTATCTGATCTGTTATCTTAATTAGATTGCTATTGTGTCTGCTTGATATTTTGGTGACAATAAAATAATTAGAGTGAATCATGTCTACTGATTATTCAGTTTCTCCCACACACCTAGCCAGGTCCGAGGGTAGACAAGGGGGTTCAGAGGGAAGCAGGAACCGCCAACGTATATTTGTTTCATCTGTGTCAAATTTTCAGTTACCGCTGCTCTGTTTCCGTTTTTTTTCCCCCTGCATATAAGATTGCCTCTCTTTCCATACTTACGTCATAGTGAACTCGTCTTGATGCCGTTACCAATATCTCCGATGCTTAGGTTATTAATAGAAAGCGTACACAAAAAATATTTCCTAAATACGACCAGACAGCGATGTTTAAGAGACTGAAGATTCGAGATAAACTGAGGAATGGGTAAAGTCATCGATGCAGTGGCCAGAATGGACGGGGTTACCCTTTTCCTTTTGGAAGGGGGGAAAACTCAATGTCCTCCATCCAACAAATGCTTTACCTTCGATTCTAAGCCACACCCGATTTTCTGTAACTTTAACACTGGATAAATAGTGCGGCTTAGATTCAAATATAAATACGGTATTTTGAAAAATATTATATACTTCTGAAACACAAGTAAGGTTTATAAATATATCAATAAGTGGACATTTTGAATAACCATTTTATTCAACGTTTCACAAGCAATAAACGGACTAGTGAGCTTTCTGTGCATTCAATACCTGATATACTTTTAAGGTGATTATGTTCAAAAACAGGATTTTAAAAAAGCGTATAAATAGATAATTTTTTTTATATTTAATGTCAGTAGAATTAAAATATACATATAAAATTATTTTATGGATATTATTATCAGAAAAAAAAATATTTGAATGCAAAATTTTGGTAAAAAATGAAGAAAAGAATGACATATATTCAAAACATTCTTTTTTTAGGAAAAATGCCTAGCTTATAGTAATAATTTGTTTATAAACAGCTAGGCTGCTATACCGATGTCGAATTAAAATTTTTGAAAAATATAATTCAGAAATGGATTTATATATATTCATATCTTGCTATATCAAGGTATATATTTATTTGTATATATATATAGAGAGAGAGAGAGAGAGAAATTTTAACAAAAAAACACAAGCTATTATTTCAGTTGATCGTAATTCTGTAAATACCGGATTTACTCGAATCTAAGCCACACCATTTTTCCCGTGCTAGTGCTACTGAAAGTCAGGTGAGGCTTAGAGTCGAAGGCAAAACATTTGTTTGATGAGGGAAATTGAGTTTCCACCCCTTTCAAAAGGAAAAATGTAACCGTTCATACAGGCAACTTGCATCGATGACTTATATCATTCCACGGTTTATCTTCAGAATTCAGTCTATCCTAAAAATCATTGTCCACTCGCTATAAACTCTTTCTTTTAATCACCTAAACATCCAAGATACAGGTAATAGTATCAAGACGAGAGAGAGGGAGCTCATTAAGATGCAAGTATGAAAAGGGAAGCAATTTTACATGTAGAAAAAAACGGAAACAAAGCAGGAGCCACTGAAAATTTGACACGGATGAAACAAATATATATGTTGTTGTTGTTACTTATGCCACCTGTCTGACGTAGTCAGAGCGAGGCCCACGAAATTCGTCATGGCAACGGGCTAGAGATACGTCTGTCGTTAGCCGAAGCTTTGAGCCCATGAAGGTGACAGTACGATTTTGCTCACGATAAATGTCGACACCATTCGGACCCAATGATTTAACGAGCACGTACTCCGTGTGCACTCTGCGGATATTTAGTGGCATAAGGCTTCCGATGCTCTAACCACTAGGCTACCCACGGCCCCCAAAAGAAAGAACTTCCTTTGCCGGGAATTGAACCCGGGCCCGCCTGGATGAAAGCCAGGAATCCTTAACACTAGACAAATATACGTTAATGGAGTAAATAAAATGATGTATTTTTTGCTTGTAAATGTCCAACGGTCCTTAATATAATTCTTTTACATTCTTCTATAATATATTCTTTTTAAAAAATGCTTCATAATAAATACATTGGATGGCACGGAAGGCGACGCCGCGACGGCGCGCCGCGTGCGAATATGGCGATGCCAGCACCGGTTCTGAAGTCAGTTACAATGAATGTGACGAATCCTTTTCAAAACATAATACAGACGGTTAGAGTAATTATAGGTTCACGTATGCAGTTGAAAGTTTTTAGTATTGGTAAAATAAATAAATTATTAAATTTTTATTTTTTTCTCATTAAATTTTTTTTTTAATTTCTTAATATCGGTTAATGACGAACCTTTTTACACAATTTTTTATTTTTTCTCAAAAACGTGTAGAGAATTGGGGGTGCGGCTTAGAATCAGTGACAATATTTTTTCACAAAAATATCTTGAGAATTTAGAGTGTGGCTTAGAATTCATGGCAGCTTAGATTCGCGTAAATACTGTAACATAAATTTTTCAAATCATTTAGTTCGACCCCGATATATAAAGGCAAAATATAAATATATAGTAGAAGAATTTTTTATAAAAGAATGTTCAGAAAATATGTCATTCTTTCTTTTATTTTTCCCAAAAAATTGCACTTTATTTATTTATTTATTGTAAGTATAATTTTTAAGCAACTTTATACGTGTATTAGAGTTCAACTGACATTATATATCAAAAACTTATTCATTTATACGAGTTCTTTTTTTTTTCAAAAGCACAGTTTTGAACATAGTCTGAAACTAAAAATGCTTCTTATTTAATCTTATTGTTTAATTAATATGTTATTTTGTAGAAATATCGGAATATTTAACAGCACTTCTAAATAATCCATCCACTAATTATATTTTGAAGATAAGTAGTAGTGAAATTTTTCCCAAGAAAAGCTTTATTTTTGCCCTTGCCTTATTTCCCTTGAAAAGCCTTGGCATCCCATTTCTTGCGGAATACTGAACAAAAATTCCGCTTTCTTCGATTTATTTTAAGAATGAGGCGCCCGACTCAAAATAGTTCTCGTCGCTTGATTGTGATTTAAAATTGCAATCTGTCGCCAGCAACAGAATGATGCGTTTGGGTTCGATATTTAAATAAGATAAGTTCCCTTTTATTAACCCAGATCATTATTCGGGTTAATTATCTTCTTATAATGTGTCCGTCTACCTCATTTAATACATTTTACATCGCTGCCTATTTTACTGGCATTAATTTCACATTAATGCGAGATATTTAATTGCATGGTATCGCCGAGAGATATACAGTATTGTAAGAAAAAAATATATTCCTAACGATCCTGCGATAAATGTATCTGCATAAGTCAAAGCCTTTAATGTTGACCAATTTTTTATGTTCACAACCTCCATAATTTGATGAGTTTTATATAGCCCTAAAAAGAATCGTTTTATATTCGGTAAAATAACAATTTCTATGCGTTGATTCCATCTATAAATAATATGTAAGTTACTGGGATATGACATACAACATTACTTTACCATTAATTTAATTTTTCAAATTTGTCTAGTAGAGTTCACTGTATATCATTAGTTAGAAGAAGAAGAGTATATTCTATCCTTAATTGTTATTTATGCTTTTATTGATTATTTTTTTCTCAATTTTTGATGTTTATTATTGACCACATATTAAATCAAGTCGAGAATTTTATTGCTTATCCCAATTTGAGGGACAAGGGAAAGGTTAATTCCACCAAACATTCTAAAATTACTAAAAAAAATTTACATAATAAAAACTTTTAAGTTATCCGAATAAAAATATAAATTCGAAATGTATTATACGGATAATCAGCTAAAGTAGTTTATATAAGTTGTCTAATACTAGTTAAGATTATCTTTCTTCATTAATTTTTTTAGTAAAAATTTAAAAAAATTAGTCAAAATTTTTACTTTTCCTTGTTTTTTTTTTTTTTTTTTTTTTTTGTATTAAAACTGAGGGGGGAGGAGGTATTGCCTGTCTACCTAACGGAGGACAGTGTGGGTGTGGATATCAAAACATTATAACAATAATAAACATCTTCCAATCCAAGAACCTAAATGTTCCGAATTCAAATTTAATTTTTAGAGATAGTTAATGTCAACCTCAAAAGAAGTGAATGAGTCATTTCAAATATCTTGTTATATTAAGGTATCCAACTACTTGCGACAACTTTCTTTTTTAAAAAAATGGAGATATGGTTTTTTTTTTTTTTGTTTTTTTTTTTTAGATTTGTTTAGTACATTTTAAGAAAAATATGCTAAAATTAAGAAGGGAAAAGGTAATTATTATTACTAAAATGAAAAAAATGGGTAAAAATTGACAAAAAGTAACATAAACGAGGCCCATTCTGTACCAAAAGTTTATAAACAGATTTTCAATTTTTCAATTCTGATATATTGCTATGTTATTCATTTTTGGAATGACTTTCAGTATAAGAGATATTTTAATTTTTACAAAAATTTGAGCATTTTATCTTTGTTATAATATGAAATTGCTTAAAAAAACAGTGATTATATTCACATAAGGGACTGTAAATTTGTAATAAAACAGAGATTGATAAATCTGAAGGTTAAAACACTTCTACTATTATACAGAACATACACAAAACAGTTAATATATTTTCAAAACTTTTTGAGCAATCGCTGTCCCCGTCTGAGCCTTTTCAAAAACACACACTTTGAGTAAAATGCGTTTAAAGTATGCATCTTGATTAAAGTAATGGCATCTGCTTTTGCTAAAACACTTGTAGTTTTTGTTCTAGTGAACGGAAAATAATTAACTTGTATTTTTATAGAGCTAATAAGATGACCTTTAAAATAAAATCATAAAAAAATGTGTCAATTTTTGGCAAAATTTACAATTTTAGGGTAGTCGGATACCTTAAGATGATATGGTACCCTAAAAATCATCAACCTATCGAACTTTTTATTAGCTTATTTGATTACCCGAATCTTTATAAACATGCCTGCAAAATTTCAAAGCTTTACCTGCATTTTTTATCAAGTTAGACAATATTTGATGCTGGACAGCAACTACCACACCCACATTTCAGATCATCTACTAGAAAAGAGCCTGGTAAAAAATGAATTAATTATTTTTCTACCGATCATAAAGGAGACTGACATTATATATGCAGTATCAAACAATTTCAAGAAAGAATTGTGCGATTCATGCAAAAATTCTAGTTGGTGTATTGTTTATTGAAGAGCAAATGGATTTGGTCAAATTTTAAAAGTTTAGCGTGCTTTTTATGAGATTATTATGAATGAAATTAAAACTTCAAAACGAATTCTTCCAAAGCACAAATACTAAATCTCATTTTGATAACTCAGATAATTAAAAATGTAATTTACAAGAATAGCAAAACTCTCCCTTTTTTTATATATTTGTTTTGGATGATATATATATATATATATATGCCATGTGTGTGAAATTCAACACTTTTATTATTAAAATATTTTAAGATATTTATTTAAACAAATGCACATATGCAGCTGTTAGATTTTGATATATTTTACCTATAAATTGTTATTTGATTCTGCTTTCATTCGTGTACAATATTTAACATGCGAAGGCTTTTAAAATTATGGAAATAAAAAATAAAGGCATAAACATCTTTTGTACATGTTGTGCATTAGCTCTGAATTTTTTTTTCTTGTAATTATTTAGATAAAGTTTTATGAAATATTGATTATTCGTTCGTTTTCTTCTATATATTCATTACGGCAGTATACTGTTTAACTGTTTTACATTTGTGAAAATTTTTATGATAAGCAGTTTTAAAGAAGCTAATTAATATTTCATAAAATTTTCAGACTATTCGATGAATATTATATCATGCTGTTTATGGAATGAAAACTTCACTCATATTTCACCATGTTGAATTTTTATACATATACGATTATTCAAAACCCAAAGGATTTTTTGATAATAGAAGTATGGGTTTGAAATTTTTTATACATGTTTTGAAATGTTTGTTTTATAAAACTGTACATGGAATTAGCTCTAACGTTTTTCGTACTTTATCTAACATTTCATAAAAAACTTCAAAACTTCAAAATCAAAATTAAAATTTTTTTTTGAGAATTTTTTGAAGTTTAAACTATAAAAAATTAATAAAAAATTAAAGAGCAGTAGCAGAAAAAACCCATGCACAGTTTTATGTGGTATATTATAAGATACTTGAAAAAAAAATTTGGAAAAAAAGAAACATTTTTAAAAAGTCCTTGGAGATTTAAAAAATGTTAAAAAAAAGTTCTAAAAATTTCAATTTTACAAACATTTTGAAACAAATTTAAAATTTTTTGTATGGAATTATTATTAAATATTAACCTTTATAAAATACAATTAAAATCAAATATTAAAAATAAAAAGAATTGTGAAGACGGTACCATATCGCCTTAAGACAACTTCTAACGTTCACACAAGTAGATCAGTCGACTTTTTTAGCAAATGAATATAATAATTTTACGATAAATCTTGTAAGTAGGAAAGTACAAGACAAAAATCTATTGAAATGTGGTTTGGAAAGAACCCAAAGGCAAAGTGGCCAAAATGTGGAATCTTAATCAAATATGTTTCATTTTCAGGTCGAATAGTAACCGCGGTAACAGGATGGTCATGGTCGCGACAACGTAACTGCCGTTGCTTCTGTCTAGTCGCTGTTTTAAGTCCTAATGAAACAAAAGACCTGCTGTGTAGGGGGAGGGATGTACATTAATTCAATCAAGATTGAAGGTCCTCGCGTTGGCATGGGTTGGCCAGCTCAAGTATCCTTCTCGTCATTTCATCGTGGTTTAGAATTACGAGCTTTCACGTGCAGGGACGTCTTAAGACTTCTTGAGACCATAAGGTCCCATACAAAAGTAGGCCTCAGCTATATACCTTAAAAGAAGTCATTATATAGAATCCGTTGTCAAATACTTGTACAAATGGCAACCCGAA